TCGCGCAGCACGGGAAAACCGTCGGAACACGAGGATCGGGTGCAGGAAAGCCAGGGGGAAGGTAAAGGGCACAGGGATGGCTGCAAGCAGGAGTCGTTACCTTCTGGGCCTGGCAGGCGTCGAAGCTGGCCTTCTCCTTCCCCAGCTTGGCAGTCCGGTCGTCCTTCTTGGCGTCCAGCTCCACCGAGGTCTTCTTCATGGCCTCCTCCTCGACCTGGACGTTCCGGATGCTGGCTCTGGTCCGCTCGATCTCGTCCTGCTTGCTCTGCATCTTCTCCTCCAGCGTCAGCACCAGGCCCTGCACCGCCCGCAGGTCCATCTCCTGCTCGAACTGCTTGTACAGCAGCACGACCAGCATGACCGTGGCGAGCCCCAGCGAGAGGGCCTGCCCCTTCATGGCGCTGACCGCGCGGAGTGACCGGCAAGCGGGGTCAGCAGGGGCGCAGAAGAGGTCGGCCCCCCCTCTCTGTCACTGCGGCGATGGCTCTCGGTGTTCCTTCGTCTCTCGGTGAGCCTCCGGCGGCCTGGGTCCGCCGCTCTCTGTGCCTGTCCTGTTCTGCGGTGAGACACCTGTAGCTCACTTCTCCTTCCTGGAGAGAGGGGGCAGGGCAGGGGGCGGAGGGGGGGCGGGGCAGGGGCGGGGCCAGAGCACTGGGCACCACACCCATATCCTCTCTCTCTTTCCTTCTTTCACTCTCTCTCCATTGCTCTTTTTTCATTTGCTGGCTTTGTGTTTTGCTTCCATTTGCACTCCCCTGCTCGTACTGCTGGCTTTTCTTCTCCTCCCTGTGCTCTGTCTGTCTCTTTTGCCCCCTCTCTCTCTCCTGTCTGTCACAGCCCCTCGTCTCTCCCCCCCCCGCAGTCAGAAGGAGAGGCACTGGATGGGCAGGACTCTCTGGATGCCAGAGTGTTTGCACAGAGGGAGTTTCACCACACAGTCAGCAGAATGTGAAACTATGACAATAAATGAATGTTGTATGTCTGTTAGCTCTCTAATTATCCTGTGTTTAAACAGAGTCACCTGAGCCGAAACAAATAAACACCTGTTAAAAGATTTACAATTTACGATAACTGAATTAGACGCCTGGTGCGCAGCAGCCTGATCCACTCCAGGTTTTACAGAGCTGTCAGACACACAGTGCACAGCAGTCTGATCCACTCCAGGTTTTACAGTGCTCTGACCTCTCCTGAGCCCTGACCCCTCCTGAGTCCAGAGCCCTGACCACTCCAGCGAGAGAAGGGTGTGACTGGAGATTCTGTGCTCTTCGTGGAGAGCAAGCTGGGGTCTGCGAAAAAGACCAATTCCTAATGCACAAAATTGTATATGGCTAATAAACTGATCTGATCTATCTGATCTTTATCTCATGTTATTTGCAGAAACTCACTGTGTCACTTCAGACAGGTGTGTCTCAGTTGCCAGGGTAACATTAGACTATCTAGGCAGCTACCAGGAACTTTCGTGGTAAACAGAGCAGCTCTGATTTGAATACAGTGTGTGTGTGCTTGCTTTCCACCAGCCCCACAAAGGCACACCACTACTAACAGACACAGTGGTGCCCTGCATACAGTATAGTATCTGCACTGAACTGGAATTGCTATACTGCTTTTACCCTGATC